CAAACGAAGAATGGTTAATCATCGCGCGAAAACCAAAGACGTGGCGTATGAATAAACCCTCAGCAACACACAGTCAGAAGTTCCTGAGACGCTGTACATAAGTAGGAAAGTTTCTATTTAAGTTAAGTTAAACAACGGTTGCAAAAATACATAACTTTAATAAAGATACACGCAATTCCCCCCGAAAACAGCAAAGTAAGACAAGAAACAGATTTATAGTGCGGTGATAGCATGAAGAATTCGTTACCAACACTCTTCAAGATAAAGATTCATACTAATTTACGTTGACATTTTTACTCAAATTCAGTTAATTCAATATTATTGTCGTTTGATTAGAAATATTTGCCACTGGACGTTAGGAAACCAACAACATATCAATCGTTTGATGATCAACATGTTTCAGTTATTATAAATATATGTATGCATATTCTGCTAAGAAAAGTATTCATAATTGTTTCTTTAGAGAAAAATACTCATTTATACAAGTTAATGCTCATTTTATAGGTTAGATCTCATGTATTTAAGTTTTACACATGTATGTAAGTACTTATATTTTTGGTTCGTACTCATAAGTTTATGAATGGTTCTCATAAGTTAATGTATATAGAAGAAAACATGACAAGGTCAGCATGTGTTGTAATAGATTATCGGTAGAAAAATATTTTTTACTGCTACAGCACATTGACGTCTAATTCTGGCTGTTTAAATACAGAGATTGTAGAATCAGGTGTACTCGATAAGTGCCCATTATTGAATAAGTACTCATAATTTTTAAGGTTCGTACTTATTGCAATTCATTTTTAAATGGAGAAATCAGTAACTCAGTGATTCATATAGAATTGATCAGTAATATTTTACTACTGTATGTTTCAGATACTGATGTTATGTTCTTGCATTTTGCTGGCAGAATTATCTACTCAGACCGCACTTATCACACAAGTACTCACATGCTTATGGTAGTACTAAAATTTTTCAGACTATAGTACATATCTATCATACACACCAAATATCTTGAAAGTCAATTTTATGAAAACGTAAGGAAATATTTACTGAAGCTAATCACTATTTCATAACACAATTTTGGATCTTTTTTTTTTCTCACAAGGTGTTTTCAAGTTATTTTATCAACAGTAATGTTGATCATCTGTTAATATTCAGTGCTAGAAATGCATGATCGCGCCATACATTCAAACGACTTGCATTTCATCTTTGTGTTTAAAATTTTATTTTTTTTAATTATTTACACATTTTTGTATGCAAATTTGTGGTTAGTCAGTGTATATTTCAGCGTCCATAATTTGATAGTCATATTGTGCTTAAAAATTCACAGTTGGTTCAGTGTTGATATTTGTACATCGTTATGTCAAAATGAGCTTCCAAATCATGATCAGGAGTAAAAAAAAAAAAAGCAAACTTGTTTATGTTCATTTTCGGTATGAAAACACAGAATTTTTGTAAAAAAAGTTGTTCACAATACATACTTTTCTGATTTAGATATCTTAGTTACACAAAATGTAATTCATTATTTAACATTATCATAAAAAAAATTCATACTTTACAATATTTTTTCCACATAATAGTTTGCAGACATCTATAGTTAAAAAAAATTTTGTAGTCTTTATAATAGTATATGTTTTAGTAAAGCAAAGATGGCAAAACAATACTTAGTGCTTAGGACTACTGACTGGCTGTTAGTTATGTTGGCGTGTTTGTAGATTCTTATATATATAATGTTGTATATGCATTTGTAATTACTCGATGTTTTATGCTTACAACTCCTACCAATTATTATTATAATCAAGATGTAGAAAGTTCAAGATTTCGGGTCGAAATCAGCTGAAGTAGAGTTGTCATAGAGTCATTTTATACCTCATTTTATATGTTTTTGAAAATTTAGTTTTCAACAAAAAGGAATAAGTTTAAAATATTTTATTTATTTAAAGTCTATTTCGAAGCTCCAGTATTGATTAAAAGTATTTTTGTTTTATATTCGTTCATTATTGTTGAAGGAAATAATTTTGATATTCGATATATCTAAAATAAGAAGTTCAATTTTAGCAGATATTTACTTTGGCATTTGTCACTTTAGACTTTCTCTTTGTTAGGCATTATTTTTATCAATTTAAGATGTATAGCGACAAGCTAAGTAGACACAATTAGACATGTTTTTTTTTACTAAGTCTATTGTCCTTTAAACACAAATAAATTGTTGTGTAAACAACATATGTCTAGGTAACCTGGTCAATTAGGGTTCTTTGTCCTGTCCAGCAAAGATCTTTCCACGCCCCTTATACCCCAAAATATCAGGGTAACTAAGGTGGCTTAGGTGTTTAACGAATCTGATTGGTCGAACCTGAAACAGTTACTTTCTTTCTTTCTTTCCAAAATCTTCACATCCTTTGTAGGACAACCACACCGCTACACTATCTGTTCGGCATGTAGAACAAAACCCACCACAATGAATGAACAAATATATGTACACTATATTTTGAATAATACTAACCTCCACCAATATATACAGGATCACTTTTGTAGTTGCTCGCATAACTTGTTGTATGTACTCTTAGTTGCATTTAAAATTCACAGGCTAGTTACCGGACATATATACAGGGGGGTTATATATGTTTTCGTGGTAAAATAGTTCATACATAAAAAGAAAACGTTGTAAAATAATTACATCAGTCAGGTTCGCACTCGGTAAAAAAAAAACTCGGTATCGCGAAATTGAACAAGTGAATTTCGGTCTCAAAAGTGGCACTTTCTCATGCGCTTTTGGAGATACAAGATCTAAAACCTACTTCACTGTGTTTGTTATAACTGTTTTCAGGTGAGTCAAGTATATTACTTTTTTATTCAAACTTAATATGTTTCTTTCATTATTTTATTCAATTGAATCGTGAAACTTCGAAAAGTTTCGTTTCCATTTTATTTAGTAAAGTCGAAGTTAAATATCTATGAGTTCTGCACGTAAAGAAGTTAAGATCAAGTTGTTGTATCTCGATCAGTGTAAATAGATGTATATATATGTTCAAAAAGGTTGGTTTATTCTTCACAAACTTTCTGTACTCAAGGGTATTTTTAAACGCGTTATAGAATTTAGTTTTACGCTCGCATGTTGGAAATGATAATTTTAACTTATCGCTTGTTCATACTTAAAAAGAATTAAGGTCACCACTGCAAGGGTAAGATGTGGATTATTTTAATAAACGCTTTATGCGTAATTTCCACATGTGTAGGTTAATTAAGTAATTATTAATCGTAAACTATTCATGTCGTTTAGCCCTATCACATCATAACGAGTCATGATTTTTTGATTAAAGCAAGCATGTATGTTTTAAAGCTAGTTTCCCCATTTCACGTGACACTGTTTCATATTCATAATATTTGAATATTCACGTTTAGTTTCGTAATGCTAAGTTTGTCTCGATTTCGAATATTTCTCAACCAATGCTCATCGTCGGAATTGATTATTTTTGGGTTAATAGGTTTTTATATAGTTTAAGTTTTAAAAGCGCAATATATGCTCTACCATGATTATAATTCGAAAGATAAAAGAATTCAACATGTTTATTCATGTCCATTGTTAAGATATTATGCATTCAATACTTTATATATTCTGTTCCGCACATGCTTTATGCTCCGTTAGTTTCAAATATTAGGTCTCGCTTTATGCTCATATATTTAAGATTTAGTCCGCATCTTGCTCATATATTTGAATGCTAAATAAGCTCTTATTTATAAGAAATATTATTAGCATCCGTGTTCGTCAGTTAAAATGCATATGCTCGTGCATTAACGTAAAGTTTGTATACTAAAGATATTAATTGATCAGTTATATTGTAAAATTATATGAATTATATGTTTCTATTATTTGCATTATATACTTTTATATTGTTATTAATTATATATCACTTTCTCATGCGCTTTTGAAGATACAAGATCTAAAACCTACTTCACTGTGTTTATTATTACTGTTTTCAGGCCCTTGCTCATCCCCCTAAGTGCTCAAGGTGTGCTTTTGGTTAAGTCCAATCCTAACAGTCAAACAACAGTCCACTTAACTCAAAAACTCAAATTCTGATACAAGTTTGATTTCTTTGCCAGATTTATTTTATTGATATTACGCCGTTTAAACCGATACTAGGGCCGTCTTAAACTTGCAGTGAGGTGAAAGTTTTTTGGCTCCGTGTTGAAAGTCTCACTGTGACTTTGAGTAAAGAACAGCAATAAAAGCGCTGTTCCTTTGCTTTTAGGGCTTTTTTGCTGTGCGTGCACAACTGTGCATAGGAATCTTATTTCATACACAATATAAGAGTTATAATTTTCTATCTATGCCATATTGCAACTATCTAACATGACGTCTAACATGAAAATAGTTTTACCCTTGTCCTCATTTTAACTCTTAAAATACACAAAGTGGTCAAGTTGGCTGCTTAACCCATGCATTTGGTCATTGAACCTTTTTTTTTTCTTTTTCTCTTCTTTTCTTTTGGTGAAGATTTTTATAGATTATATTAGATATTTTAACCCCTAATTTATTTCAAATCATGGTCATTTAAAAAAAAATATATCAACCTTTAACTAAATTCTTAGAACATGTATCACAGCCCAATGTATGTTATCTAAGGTATTAACAATATAATGGGTCATTTCTAAATATAAATAGATCACAAAATTATAAACGCCCAAAGAGTCTGCAGACAGTCCAAACCGGAACATTTTTGAAATATTTTGGCAATTTTTGAGTAATTATCGTCAAAATCAATAAAAAAGACATAGTTAACCAAACCAAAATTCTGTAAAATAGTATATATATATGGATACACATTAATTCATTTTGGTTAGCGTCGCCCGACAATGTAAAAATAAAAACATGTAAAAAGGAGAGGGCCGATTACCTCTTAATTTATTGCTAACCAGGGCCATTTACAAAAAGTCTTTCAATCATTCAATCATAAAATTTACTTAGATTCATAGTACTACATCCCAAAGTGTACACTTTACGGTTCTTATAATATAATCATTTAATTCTAAACGTTTCACCACATTATAAACGCGATTTTTTGAAAATTTTAGTTTGTTAGTAGATTTATATGTATTCCTAAAAAATATTAAGAAGGTCATATTGTTAACTAAAACCAAAATTGCGTTGGAAGTAAAGCTATGTATTGTCTTTCGGACCCTTATTCATTTTTGTTATCGATGTGCTTCGAAGCAAAATTTGTCAGAAACATGTAAAATTAAATAAGTGAAATAAGTCCAGGGAAAATTGGTCTCGCCGCTTTCAAAGACCCCCCCCCCCTTTTTTTTCCTAAAAAATGGAGGAAAGGGTGCAGGCACATGTTTTTCAAACGCCTGTGCTTTTGGCTATTTCTGTGGTTGACCCGCCAATAATTAATTTCAATGCTTAAATACTGCTTGAAAAAAAATGGTCTAACAAGTTCACGGTTTTGATTGTTTATTCTACATTGGCTAGAGGTATAGGGGGAGGGTTGAGATCTCACAAAACATGTTTAAACCCGCTGCATGTTTGCGCCTGTCCTAAGTCTGGAACATCTGGCCTTTGTTAGTCTTGTATGTTTTTTTAATTTTTGTTTATATATATGTTTCGGAGTTTAGTGTGACGTTCATTTTCGCTGAACTAGTACTTATTTTTGTACAGGAGTCAGCTGAAACCCGCCTCCGGGTGCGGAATTTTCTCGCTGTGTTGAAGACCCATTGGTGGCCTTGGGCTGTTTTCTGCTCTTTGGTCGGGTTGTTGTCTCTTTGACATATTCCCCTTTCCATTCTCAATTTTATCTTTTGGGTTTTCCCTTACTAAAGCGTGGACTTTGTAAAGGGCAGGGTATCATTTTTTTAACTTTGCTTACAGTACCTCTATTTGTTTTCGTATTTCATGTTACCTTTCTCAACTCATGTATATCTTCTGAGACGTTAAAACTATTTAGTAAATCTGATGAATCGACGAACTACAAAATACTGCACAAAGAAAATCATAGCGTCATTCCCTCTTTGTTTTCGCATAATACATGTAGCAAACGTTTTTGTAATAGGACTACAGTTTAAAGCTTCTTCCACTATCAAATCTTACCTTCTGCATAGATATGCTGACAGACTAGCAAAACCATGAGGATGTGTTTTTACAATCCACTACTACCATACTTAATCGTCGATAAATAGTTTACATACAAATAATATTTGATTTAGAATGTTTAAACCAGCTTGCATTAAGAAAACACATATGGTGTTTATTTGCATACACGAAGGTTGTACCAAATACATACCTATTGTAGCTCTTTTTGAGTGGTCCATAAGTGAGCGGTTATTTGGCAAAATTATTTCATACTGGTTTTTTTTTATATATATTTTTCTGTGGTTTATAATTTAATATTTGGTAATTTGGTGTTCATGTCTAACTTTTGTCTAAAATCTGTTAGTATTCATACTTTGATGAGTTGAGCCTTTTTTCAATTAATGTTTTATAGTGTGTCCTTTTATGTCGTATTGTTACACCACTGTCTCAGGCTAGGGTGAAGGTTGGCGCCAGATAAAACGTTCAAACCCGATGCATTTGTTTGCACCTGTCAGGAATCTGATGTTCAGTGGTTGTCGTTTGTTGATGTGGTTCATAAGTGTTTCTCGTTTCTCGTTTTTATATAGATTAGACCGTTGGTTTTCATGTTTGAATGGTTTTACTCTAGTCAATTTTTGGGGCCCTTTATAGCTTGCTGTTCGGTGTGAGCCAATGCTCCATGTTGAAGGCCGCACTTTGACCTATAATGGTTTACTTTTACAAATTGTGACTTGGATGGAGAGTTGTCAAATTGGCACTCATACCACATCTTCTTATATCTATATACATTTATGAGCAATGATCTTAGCTGTATTGCATGCAAATCCGACTGTAATCAATAACTTTTTTGTTTGTATATCTGGGCTTTGTGGATAATCTGTTTTTAAGCTATTTACTTATATGTTTCACTTGTCATACTAGCTACAATCCAGTCTTATTTTTCTCGTTTAAGACATCATCAAATGCGACTGACCATCAAAATTTAAGTTGAAGTGAACATGTGCTACTAGCAGAAAGGAAACGAATCAATCTGCCGAACCACCTCAGTTAATCTTCCGGACCACCTGAGTTAATCTCCCGGATTACCGTAGTTAAAACCTAGTTTTGTTTAAAAGTAGTCCTTGTTATTTTTGGTTAGGTTTATGCTGTTCAATCTTATTCATGTAGTGTATTGTCAACTATATGTTTTCCCGTTATTTTTCTGTTGTTCTTTGTGTTGTCTTCAAACTCTGGATAACTCCTTTAGAATTAAGTCCCCCTTTTCTACTAGCGAGTCAGACAAAATTAAAAATAAAACTTTTGTTTGTTTAATAAAATTGATACAATTTAGTGAATTTTATTTGCATATTTTAATTAAATTCAATTACTTCAATTAAATAACTAAATAAAACGTTCCAAACAACACAGCATTGACTAATAAGATATCTAGTTTGAATTATGACAAAATATCGCATAGAAAACAGTTTAAATTGTTCCTTTTATCCAAATACACACTGTGGCGTAGTACAAGGCGTTGTTCCAGATTTTAAGGCTAGTATTTGAGTTAACCAGAAGTCCATTCGGTCTTTGTACAAATTATTCAAAATCATCGGATGGACATCGAGAAGAGCATACTGTTTTGCTGCAAGGTCATACTGTGGCCATTTTAGAAGTCCATGACCATTTACATTTCTAAAAAAATAAAAAATTGAACCGTGAAATAAATGAAAACGTGCAGGATGAAAACATCTTGTTAGATAAACATAATACCTAGTAAAGAAATTAATCAAAAATGGTTTCTTACATGTTTCTTCATAAATAATTCAACTTTTCGGATTTTCAAACAAAAGAAATTGGCTCAGTGTATAAAGTACGTCATAAACGTCTGATTATATGTAGAATAAACATATAATTTACCACAAAAGTATCGTAACATTATAACATATATCCGCTAAATATTTTAATTTCAAAATGTAAAACGGAGGCATGGCAAATCGAGAAAGTTTGTTATAACAATCCAGAGTACAAAAATATGAAAATAAATATGGTTAAGGTGAAATACACATAGCTGAGATGGTAATCGAGCAGATTGTTACACCGAGAAAACATTGTCAACCTTGGCTTCGCCTCGGTTGACAATGTCTTTTCGAGGGGTAACAATCTGCTCTGTCATCCTTTCAGTGAATGTTCTGTTATTATTGTCTATTAAATTTCAAATTCGTAGTAATAAACTATGACGTCTTGTACATAACAACCATAACAAAGTGCACAATTGATCAAGCATCTCCGTGAAGGGTAATAGAGTCTTTGCCATGGGATAGAGTAAATTATCTACCTCGTATTAACCAATCAATATCAGGCATTTTGACATGAAGTATAATAACTATTGTAAATACATGTATGATATGATACGTTATCGTTATGCATTTGTATTTGCATTGTCTTACCCAGTCTTTGCAAAGTTACTCCAATATTTCATCATCTTCAGACTGAAAGAAATGTCATCATCAGTTGCATAAGGTAATGCTACATTGAAAGGGAAGATGTATGGTAATTCTGCACCGTGTCCTGCTTCTTTTAACCATGGATAATAATTAAGTGGATAGGAAAATATTGAACGTCTTTTGTGGATATACTGAAACTGCTTTCTTTTATGGCTGTTCATGGCATGAACGTTTAAACTTTTAACAGCAGGGCTATGGAAAAATAAGTCACTATAAAAGTTCACAACATTCTGACCTTGATCTGCAAGCGACCCATTGTTTTGATATTTTTGACATATGGCATTACCTATAGCAGTACTGTTATGGTAATAATCTTCAGTTAGTGGTGGAATAATATGCTTACACATATAATCAGACGTTATTCCATCTGATATGTTGAAGGATAATTTGTTCTGTAATGCTGCCAGTATTTCAACCAATAACGATCCCTCTGATTCACATGTCCCTATTATCACGTCTAATGACTGAAAGAACTCAACTGAAGGCGAACTAGAATTTAACATGCTGTTCCTTGGGTCATCCTTGAAATAAGGTGCCCAGAAACCGACAATGTGAAGATCAGATGATCCTGAAACGTAGTAAGGTAGTGATAACGATGCGTTCAGAATTTCTGCACCACTTTTACTTTGCATGCACGTCATACGTTCGGAAACCATTCCATTACTGCAGTTAAGCGACTGAATTATCAATTCACTTCCTAAGAAATGTTTAGGGGTTTCAGAAAAAAGGGTGTTACTAGTACCACTTTGTTCAATTACTCGATGGAAAAGTCCCTTGTTTGCAGGAAATATTGCTTGCAAGCCAACACTGAATCCACCGGCCGATTCTCCAAACAAAGTAATGGATTGTGTGTTACCACCAAAACTTTCAATATTATTGTTAACCCACTGAATTGCCTTTCTCTGATCATTGAAGCCATAATTACCGTTTGACATACCGTCTGAAGTAGTCAAAAACCCAAATACATTTAAACGATAGTTTATAGTGACAACAATAACATCCCCAATAACGCTTAAATAGGACCCATCGTATAACATGCCCTGTCCTGTAACATAGCCACCCCCATGTATCCATATCATAACGGACTTTTTCTTTCTCACCGAGGTACTAACAGGAACGTAAATATTTAAAAATAAACAGTCTTCGCTCTGTTTAAAATTTGGCATGTAGTTCTCAAATGCTGGGTATTTTGGCTGAAAACACGACGGACCAAACTGTGTTGCATCTAATGTTCCATTCCATGGGCCATATGAAACTGGATCTTTAAATCGAAGTTCTCCGACTGGTGGTTTAGCGTATGGTATTTTCTTGAAAACAGTATAAGCTTTTGTGATATTGCCAAATGATACTGTTGAAGTGATTCCTTTAACAGGACCAAGGTTTGTTTGAAGGGTAACTATGTCATCACTGATGACTGATGTAACAAAAACTGACATTACAGTAAGCATGTGTACCATAATAACTGGTCTCATCTAAAATAGAGTTTTACCATTATATATATTTCATATGTACCATAGTAACTGGTCTCATCTAAAATAGAGTTTTACCAATATATATACTTCATATGTACCATAGTAACTGGTCTCATCTAAAATAGAGTTTTACCATTATATATACTTCATATGCACATGTACCATAGTAACTGGTCTCATCTAAAGTAGAGTTTTAAAAATATATATACTTCATATGTACCATAGTAACTGGTCTCATCTAAAATAGAGTTTTACCAATATATATATATATATATATACTTCCTTATAAAAAGATGAATGTATTTTCTACACGATTCTTCTTTCTGACAGCATTTGACATCAGATGTTCATGCAAGAGGAGATGTCGGGCCGACAGTAACCTAACAACACAAGTAAGTTCGCCAAAATTAACACGAAAAAGAAGTATTATAAATGTTTAATTAAATCATGCGGTTATTAACAATAAACAGGCACGCAATTCAATGTCAAGGTTACAGTTTCAGACAATAAACAGGCACGCAATTCAATGTCAATTTGAAATGTGTAGATAATTTCTACACAAACGATCAAATATATGACAGGTGATTAAAAGAAGATACTATAAGGAATCAGTTTTGGCCCTTTAATTTTGAAAATAAAAAACTATATATTATACACCTATCAAATAACTTTGATTTACACACAAGTTACTTCATAAAGTTTCTCTGCTTCAAAATTTGGTAATCAAAAAATTTTCTACATTTGTACATAAACCAATCAAATAATAAAAACGATACATGCACCCAAACGTTTTCCCTAAAATTATATCCGAGTAATTCGATCAAAACTGTCGCACCACATCGATAAAAACTGCCAAAAAAACATATAAAACCATTCGTTGCTATAACACTTTTTACATATGACCGTTTTCTGGTGTACAATCTTAGTTTAATAGCTATTGTACCTTTAAAATTTTTAATGTCGGAAATGTTTTTTGACAGTACAATCGCTTGCGCATTTTCTGTGCAACCATTTGGACCTTTTCTGTACTATCGGTTGGCCATTATTCATAAAATACATTGCATATGTATTTCTTTGTTTTTTTTTCTGTTGTCCTATAAAATGATCCATGATATACTCAATAAATTTGAACATAAATTCAGTTATTTTTGCCGAGTAAGCTTCTATCAAGAACACCTTACCACGGCACGTGTAAATTATCTATATCAGAAAAAGTATTGAAAATTGAACAATCAGTATAAAAGGCCAAAAAATACAACACAGATGTAAATAAACCACTTTTTCAATTTAAGGAATATATCTCCTTTATGCAAAGTTCTGATTCCTTCCAAACTTTGGCTATACTTTTTTGTCTTTTTTTTTGTGGTTTATATGCTCTTTTAATTTATTGTTTTGATAAGCTTTGGATTTTCAAATATTTTGGCCTCGAGCATCGCTGAAGAGACATTTATTGTCGAAATGTGAATCTGGAGCAGAAAAAAAATGGTACCGTTAATGTTTGTGTAAACAATTAAACTCGTACAAAACGAACTCCCACACAAAACCGAAGGTGAGACCAGGTGTTTCGGAAAGGTAAGCAACTTCGGAAGTTTACTTTATTTATAATTGATCAATATTTTAAAAGAAGAAAAAAAAAATATGTCTAGCTCCGTGACGTAAAGAAAAAAAGACCAGTATATTCTAACTTGATAAAGACATTTGAATGAGGAATGGTAATTTCACAGAGCTCTAAAACTCATCAACCATTCACGGAACCAAGAAAAGACACGTCATAAAACATCTAGCTAAACCAAAGTATCAAAATATAAAATCGAATACAGAATCAAATTACGATTGCAAATATTGGAAGCTAGATAAGACTTATGTATATGTTTATTAAAAGATACGGGAAAAACGTAACATGATTCAAAATATTTTGTTATCAAATTTTAGAAATGAAATTAACATGAAATAGAAAATATCCATGAGAAGCCGGTATGTATTTGAATAATTGAATAATCAGAATAACGAGTAAAACAAATCGAGCCAGATGCAACTTATAAGAAGAGCACAGTGTAAATATATACAAGACATTATTAGCTAATGAAATGGATGGAAAACCTAAATCCCTCTGGAGTTTATTAAAAGTAAGATACCAGAAACATCAGGAGTTTCAGCCACTCTCACTGAGAAAAGATGGTTTATTAAACAGTGATTCTAATACATATCCTTAATCATAATGAACAATTTAAAGGTACTTTCACTTGCGAAGATTCATCTTTTATGCCAAATAAAGGTTCAAATTTCATTCAACTATGCCAGACATACTTATTAATAATATTGGTATTCTAAAGTTACTTTACAATTGAAATCTCCATAAAGCTACTGTCCCAGATAATCTGCCAGTTCATTGTTTGTGTAATCTTTCAATGGAATTGTTTTCAACATACTTTTTCCAAAAATCAACTGATTCTCACAAAATTACATCAGACTGGAAAAAGGCTAATGTTGTACCTATCTTTAAAAAGGTGACATGCATATTAATACTATTTGTTACACAATGTGCTAGTGAACTAATCGATATATACGGGGTCAGTAAGTTCCATATTGGGCGAGGGCATGCGAATTTACTTACCCTGTATATATCGTATTGGGTCACCAGCACATTGTGTAATATATTTATCTTACGGACTATCTTAATATGTGAGATTTAGACGTGGTTGTAAACCTTGATATCACAATTTTAACACAACATTAACAGAACATTCAATTATTTACTTTGAGAAAGTCAGCGCCTGTAAGACATGTTTTTGTAATTCTAATACTATAGTACCTAATAAGACTTCTTTTGTTTTGGGTTTAATTGTAATTATAACATTATAATGAGCCGTGTGTAAAATGTATTTCGTCATTTCTCTACGAAATATGACTTTTTTAATGAAATAAAACGTATGATTTGTAAATTTTCTCATTTTTCTCGGGAATAGGCTGATAAAAAATATTTTATCTACTCTATATGTGGAAAATTTTGTGAAAATATAAGAAGTGGCAATTCTTACCTTTCATACCTTTAGTTTCATTGATAAAAAAATAATATGGACTCGTCCAGTGTCCAGTGTGAAGGTCATTTAAGTTACTGTACACGTGTGTGTACATGTAAAAATGAAAGCAATTAAAATTCAGATTTAAGAAAACAGTTTTTCAGTGATAAGTAAAAATTTGGGGGAAATAAATCCCTACAAGAATGGCTAGTTAATTATTCAAGCCATGCTTAAAGTTACGGATAAGGTGCTCAAAGTGGGATATTTTTTTACCTGAAAATGTGGAAATCTTATATTGTCATTTTTCTCATTTTTCTACATTAACTGTCTTTTGTCATGCTTACTCAAAATAGCAAATAAGATAAATCGCGATTTATACTAGAATTTGCGCCCCCCCCCTCTTTCCCTTGGTAGCCTCAACATAAGCGCGAAAATGCACGACGTCGCTGGCTGACAATTTCTACGTCTCCCGCCAATTATCTTTGCAAGGTTATCGGCGACATTTTGCAGGTGTATATAAATTGCTTATAAAGAGCTACTTTAAAATAGTAATATTGTTTTCGGAAATTAAAACATGTGTATCATAAATACCTCTCACTTTTTATTCTGTTTATGTTCCAAGCGAGAAACATATCAAGCATAGTCATTGCGAACTGTTGATTTTTTTACGGCTTAATTTAAAGACTCGCGGCAATTTAGAGCTTGACATGCCGGTACCGTACACACTCGTGTATTGTTTAAGACTATATGTTGACCTCTAGATGGTTTTTGTTTTGGTTGGTGGGTTGCTGTTTCATTGACATACCCCTAAAACATCCTTTTATTCACATTTTAATCTCTTTTAAGAATTTCACATTTATTCATAAAATCAAACTGTTATTCTGGTGAATGATTACAGTTGAAGAAAGCTTGGAGGCTCCTACTTTTTTTAGCCAGTTTCACTTGTATTATACTTATTTCCATTGGATCACATCACATAGGTTACGTACATGAGGTCTTTTCCTGCAAACGGAACTTGTCAGAAAACAAAAAAAATCTTATATGGCAGAATCTTCAATTTGTTGAATTTCTCTAACTGGTAAAAACCTCTTTTTTACCAGACAGAGAAATTTTACAATAGTTTTGAAATTTTTCATAATTTTGATTTGGCAAAAATGATTGAATATAAAAAAAAGACTGGACATGAATTTCTGTGTCATTTGGTCTCTTGTGGAGAGTTGTCTCATTGGAAATCATACCACATCATCTTATTTTTATGTTAACTATACATCCCCCATAACTTTGGTTTTTGTTTTTGTGTCCTTTTCATTCCTCTCCCAAATTTCAACATATGCCATTACACGGCGTTCCATAGAACAAAAATCAGACGTAGTTTTCCCTTATTTTTATAAACTGTAATGTGAACTAAATGTATCTAAGATCACGGAACAATGAAATAAGAATCTATGCTCTGAGGTTCAGTAGTTGTCGTTTGTTGATGAGGTTCATAAGTGTTTCTCGTTTCTCGTTTTTTATATAGATAATACTGTTGATTTCCCGTTTGAATGGTTTTACACTTAGTAATTTTTGGGGCCCTTTATAGCTTGTTGTTCGGTGTGAGCCAAGGCTCTGTGTTGAAGACCGTACTTTGACCTATAATAGTTTACTTTTATAAATTTTGACTTGGATGGAGAGTTGTCTCATTGGCACTCATACCACATCTTCTTATATCTATCATATTCTCCAGCCATAGCAGACGACAACATTCAGAAACAACTAATAGAGATCTTTTTTGTTCCTATATCTTCAGAGGAAAGAAAAATTATATATATATTTTTAGTTCTTGTTCATAGATACTTACCAAATTCATAATTATTACATCAGCTGTTTATTTTTATATTTGAATGCATAGCGGAAATGAACTTATATTGTCTCCCTTTAATAAATCGTCTGTGTACGGCATCC